CGTTATCTTGCATTCCTCGATAAACGTCACGAGCCGCTCGACATACGTACATCAAACACTGATTACTGATCGCCCTTAACCCGTTGACGATTTTTATCCTTATTAGGAATAATCAATTCTGTATATTTTTATCATATTTATTTATACTTGACGACGTTCATATTACGATAATATGAAAAACAAGAAATAGATTAAGTTAAGGAAATAAATAATTGTGTAAGGAATTACTCGAGACTAGTTGCCAGGCTAGTTTAGAACCAGTTGACTAAATATTACAACGTGACGATGGATTTCTATCATCATCTGTTTTTCATTTTGCTTTTTGCTCCCCCAAGTTCTCTACGCTGTACAAGCTTATAATTGCCAGACAGTTAGCCAGCAAACGAGATGTGAAACCAGCAGAGACATTTTTGTAACACGTGTGCGTGTATAAGCGGCATCAAGCTTCATTAAATTGCTTCAATAGCTGATGGGTCAGAGAACCGCTGCGCCAGGAGGAGCAGATAACTGAAATGATATGACACAACGATCTCTACCGTACGCGTGCCATTTCCTGACGATTATGCGACGCTTCCTGCGACGACTTCCTCCATCATCATTATTTGCCAATTCGGAGAACTCGGCGCGAGTCTGATTAAGATCATTGGAACGCAGACAGCCTGAAACGGTTCTCGCAGTGTCTGACCGAGTACAATCGGAATTCGAATAACATTTGTGATGCTACACACCTCGTAACAATCAAATATTTAAACTCTGAAGCGTGAAATCATTGAAATTTAGATCTTTTAAATGCTGTACTTAAAACGAGAATAGAATTTTCTCTGGGTGGAATGCGAATCCAATTCCCCTGTTAACACAGATTACGCTTCAGCCTCATTTGAGACGCGGTGATTAAACCGCGTCTGCCTATATGCTTCTTGAGACCTTACCTGTGCGCAGCATCGGGTTAAGTGCTAAGGTTGCCTAGCTAGCTAATGCGCGCGCGTCGCGGTGTCGTGCGCGTTACACTCATATCTCCTGTTGCACTTTTTGCTTCGCATCGTTACCCTCGTAACCTATTCTCCGCTCTCGATCGAACGGTATGGCCTGTATAAGTAAATTATGTAACCTTATTTCTCCCGATGTCATTCAATCTATTTCTCGTGGTGACATTACGATATGTTACATACATATAACCAGTCCTGCAACTGAATTCTTCCCCCCCACTTGCAAGATCCTAATTAGAGCTCCAGAATTCGGAACTGTTTTTCTAATTTAAACTTCGCGCGCTTAATGGAAAATTTATTAAATTCGCAAACTAATGGAAAATTTATTACCGGATATTCTAATTTTGGCGAGCAGTATAATATGCAGAAGTTCAATGACCCTCCGAATGTAAACCTTAGAAGTTAAGCCGATTTCATACCCGTTACCTCAACGTAGCAAGAATCATACCACGCGGCCGGGGGTGGCCTAATTGCAAGAGAAAATCGAGGGATCTATTTTCGCGAGAATTGAATTGCATCGATACATAAGAAGAGGCTGGAGAACGGAAAACGGAGCCGAGCCGATGCGACGGAGGTGCACGAAGAAGACCGAACGGGTTCGGAAGCAGCCGAGGCCATCTGTTACGCTCGGTTCCCACGCTTCCGCCGTCGCCTTTCCCCGCCTTTAGACCAGTCCTCGTCGGTCCTTTTCTTGCCTCCACCTTCACCGACACCGCCGGCTCTCGCCCATCGTCGCTTTATTTTATATACCCGGCGAACACACGCCTGGAACGGACACGTCTCTTAAAACCGCGACTCGTCTCCGCACGTTCTCCGATACGAGGCTGAACTTTTGTCGCTTCTCGCCTGACGCGGATCTCGAGACTTCGCCGGCAGTTTTCGCCCGGGCGTTAAGTAAAAGTTATCGCGACGCGCGTCGCAAAAATTGGGCTCTCTCGAAACGGTCTTATCTCCTTCGTCAACGCGCCGCTCTGTAAGAACTTGCAGTAATAACAAGCGTCCTGCGAGACGTTTCCCGTTTTATTTCCCATTCCTTCGGCGTTCGTCCCGAATAAATTGAATTTTTTATTGCGCAAGATTAAAACGCGCTATAGTAGGTGTGTACATACTTCAGAGTTCTCTGAAGCGCGCGACGTTTCCGTGCGAGCAGTTAGATACATAAATTCAGCCGGGGCGGCATGCCTCGCTTTCTCCGGCGCGTTCGTCAAGTCGTCCGCGATACTTGAAACTGGTCCATGTAGTACATACCTACCTTCATAGTAAAACCCAGAAAGGGATCGTTTTTCTAGCAAAGGAAAACCGACCGCGGATACGATCTTCCTTTCTAATCTAACACGAATCATGTTGGTTCGCGAGCTTCCCACGATGAATGCATTATTAACAATCGCTAAACACAAGTTCAACCCTCACCCAAGTACCAATTTCAGTTCCTATTCGTTTTGAAATAAGAACATGCATACATACATACATACATACATACATAAATTAGTTGCTTATATTTTTCTTCGAGAAAATCTGATAATCCAAATTAACATATTATATTAGGAGCTAATTTTTTAATGAAAGATAAACTGGTTCTGCTTCCTTCTCCCGGCAATTTCATATTCATTATACAAAAAGTTCTTTTTGTAACAGCAAAAGTGGCGGGAATTATCGATGCATCGGAAATATAGTAATTTTACGTACACTTATAGTACGCTTGAGAATCCCATCTACATAATGCGTATTCTTATTCAGAACAACATAGAAAGCGGAAGTGCAACACGCATCCGTTCGATGGATAATAACTGTTGTTTTGGGACGTATCTATGATGTAACAATATGAATACGATATATCGGTAGCATGAATTGGCCTGCGAAAAGAAAGGAGTCGATTTCGGGGCACGTGCTCGCAGCCCGACCATTGTCATCTTCCCAGAGGCTGTGTTTACATAAACGTATCCCCCTGCAGAAAGTTCATATTCCCGACCACCAGTCAGTGCGCATAGCCTTTTTTTAAATGTGTTCCGCACAAAGGGAATCGTAAACGCGGCACACGTGTGCTGGCGAACGCTTCACGCCAAGGGGGCTGCGAAACGATTAAACTGACCACAAAAAAAGATGAACTCGATTCTTCAAATACTAGTTGTATACGTTCGATACGGAAGGGGGAACGAACACAGTGACAATGTCGAGTGACTTCCAGCGACCCTTGTTTGCCCATGAATAAATTCCATTTATTTCGTCACATAAAACAGGAGGATTAAAGGTCAAAATACGGGCACGGCAGACTAAATACTTGTGTAAAGGCGCCCGCGAATAAGAGCACATTTCTAGCAATTTGAAACCGATTTGTTACAAAAATCAAAGAACGGAGAATCAAAAATATGAAGAACATAAAGAGACTTAGAAACAGCGATAGGAACATACGTGATAATTTTTAATAATTTTTGAATCAATTCATTAATGAAATGTAAGGTAGAATAACCTCGAGGATAACGATTGCATCGAAACAGATAATTTCCACAACGCAGTTAGTAACCATGGCGGTATGCAATCGATAATAAAGGGACGAGAAAGGTTGGGTTCGGAATGGCCTGTGCGAGGGACAATTTGAAAGCGTGTTGCTAGCCGTCGTGGTTGTAAATCAACAGCACTGTCGGCACGATTAGAAACTCTTGATTTGGAAAACACGCGGTGAGCAGACGATCTAACGGCGTGGTTTCGTTCATATTCTCTTTGGAACATCTGGTTGCCATGTCCCATGGCAACAAGATCTTTTCCTGTTATATAGCTGATTCAACGAAACAGTGTCGCACATATCACACAATTTAGATTAATTTCTACTATCTGTTTAATACTGGTTTCTCATAATTTGAACTTACTTTTAGATAACTAAAAAATTTGGTACTATCAGAACGATTCAGAAAATCTGATTACGAAACACAACTGAGAAATGAATATTATACATACGTACTGATTTGATAAATAGACGAATGTATAATATGTACTTATCTAAATGAAATTCACTGGAATCGCGATTTCGTAACAATTACCAGATCAGCCGCGATATAACAAAGCATTTAGCTTCGGAACCGATCCTACGAACGCGTTTGAGGAACGTACACGGGTTACCCCCCTTTCAATGCTCAAGATTTATACAGTGTTTTGTTCTGGCAAGAGAGCTTACGGTTCGATGGCCACGAAATGCATGTATTCACTCCGATAACAGAGCTAATGTGCGACGCATGTACATAGTATACATTCAACAGGCTCGCGTACACAGAATACGTGGTCCGTGCCAACAACGTTACGGAATTGTGAATGGTGGCTGTTGTAAACGATATCGAAACGCAACCCTCCGTTTCCGTTTTGTCCAATAATAGATTTCCACCGTTCTGCGGTTTCTCTTTATTCGCATGAAGATTATGTTACGCGCGCATTCGGCACGGTTACGATGTTAAATGTGAACGTATGCAAAGATGTAATTCAATGAAAAAGTACATAACAATGTGTACATATATATACTACAAAGATTAAAATTATTGTGAGCGCAGATTTTGAAAGCAAATTATGAATGAATGAATAGAATAAATTTGTTAATGTCGATTAATGCCGCGTTTGACTAGCAATTTTTTCTAACGGGCTACGACAATAGGCAACATCGTATGTAAAATAAATGCAGGGAGAACTGAAACGCATAACCGCGGCGATTAACCGTGGACCGTGGCTCGAAGCGTATAGCAACAGACCGTTATCTGAAACATGTATGACGATAAACTTGAAACTCCATTCCACTATATTTCAGGAATGGCTTATGTATAAGTCGTCGCCGTGATTATACATCGTATGGAACATTGAGTGAAAACAAGAATAATTCGCAATTGAAATCTAATTCATCGCTTGACTAGCATCGTTTACACGAATACACGCGATGTAGCCTTAATTTTTTGCTGATTAGTATTACAAATGCTAAGTCCTTCAAGCCTTAGCATCAACTGCATTGTTAGAAATAAAAAGTGGGATTGTATCTACCTCATCGGTAATAATCGGCGCCTTGTCCATGTTGTCGTTGATCGGGCTGGGTGGCGACGTGGGGCTAGCACTGGGGCTCACATGAAACCCCTTCGATTCCTTGGCAGGCCTCTGGGGGGACACCCTCGCGGGGAAGCTCAAGGTTTTCGTCCACTGCGACAAACCACGCACCATCTTTTTTGTTTTCTTCTCGTCCAAAAGTGTCACCGATATAAACAAAATCGCCTCGCGATTAAACTACTACGGAGGTACCGGGCGAGTTCAACGCGCGGTTTCCGTGACACTCGCGACTATTAAAAAAACAATACACCGTAAGTGACACGATTACCCGACGTCAACATTTGTCCCAAGCGCGAATCTCCAAAATATTTCCGCTGGGAATGCACTTTGAGACATTAATCGATGTATCTAAATTTCGAGAAATCCGTGTCGTGACAAGCATGGAAATAGGTCTCAGCTAGCACGCGCGCCAGCTTGAGCGCACGCCACGAAATTTACTGACAGACTGTTTCGTAGTCCGGCGCGGTCGGTCCTCTCCATGGAACGGTCGCGTCATGCCTGCTGGACCAAGCGCGCTGATTGGTAGATTCGATGGAAAGCGACAGGCGATGCGCGTACGACAAGGACAGCGACAGTGGTACATAGCCAAGAGGGGGTTAGTACGAAGAGGAGAGAAAGATTGCGAACAAAATGAAGCGGAAAGACATCGACGCACGATGAACCGGGACCGCGATACAATTTTCAAAAGTGTAAAACTCTTCTTCGAGGAATGGAATCGTTCTCCACGTTTTTCTCTCCTTCTGCATCTCTTGGTCCCAGTGAACGAAGGAAGGGAAAAGAGCGAGACAAGTTCGACGACATTTACGGGACAAGGACGTCGAGCAGGGAGAGACGGTGAATGAAGGTACGTGTGAAAGAGATTATCGGATATGTGACACAAATACGTTCGCCGTTGACTTTAGGTCGCGGTTTAGAAATCGTTTGATGTTACATCGGTTTAACGAAGTACCAATAAATACCACAGATTCTTATGATGATTGTCAGAGTATGATGAAAAATAAAAAGATCCTGATTTCGTTAATCTCTTCGAGTATTCAGCGCTCACTTAAGTTTTATCAAAGAATTTTGTATCCGTGTATTTCATAGCAATAAGTTTCTTCACGATCAATTTCAACGATTAATTAATAGTAATGTCGATATGCTGAACGAGAGCCAGGTAGCTGAGGCGGCCGCTATCAAAGCGGTACTTTTACTGACATCCTTTACCAGGGACAAAGAATTTGTCCGAGGCTCGTGATCGGTAAAGACACTCGTGTTGCCAACTGCAGACTGGAGCCCAGAATATGGTGGGGAGTAAAGCGACATTGTAAAGCCCGATCGGCGAGGCATGTTCCTTACATTGAGCTGTATGTAACAGCGGACAGGATCTAGCCAGCTGCGGCCTTCTTCGACCTTCTCCCCACCAGTCCGGAATTAAGCTTCTGGCCAGCTACAGCGAACCGGTATCCCAGCGTTCTAACAAGAAACATCCGCGAAGACCCGCCTTCGATCTTTACGAGACACTGTGTACATATCTTGCTCAAGACAGTCAAAAACGGACCGCCTTATTAACGTATTGTGACTTGTGCGAAATACCGACGCGGTAGTATGAGAGGGAAAAATGCCAGGTTACAAAAAATTAATGAAATTGTATTAATACATTAAATAAAATAAGCTGTAAAGTTTGAAAAGTCTGAGCCTTCAAATAATAAATGCTAAATATTGTATTATAATGTGCACTAAAATTATTCTGTCTATTCCCTTTTCATAAATAACAATGATTGTTCTTTTGAATTCCTGTAGCGTTTCTCAGAGCCTCTATTCGTCATCGTGTTTTGTCTATGTGACACAATTTCAGTTTTACCCTTTGACTTCGTTGCGTGTATTCAAAAGTCCACAGTCAGAGAAAGGTACGGTTCTACCAAGGAAGGCAATTTAAATTTTTAATTCATCGGACCCGCATAGTATGAAGTTGAAAGTTCACACCATCTGTTCCCGTCTTCTTTAAAATTTCTAGCCGATCTTTAGATAAACCACAAGGTCTCACCCTCCTTGGTATGGCGTGTTCTAAATTTCACTTTGACGGACAGTCCGCTCGAGGGACGTCCCTACGAATCGCCACCATACTTGCAACATATGTTCTCGTGAATTATGACAACCCCTAACTTGGCGAAATTGCCATGTCGAGGACAATGAAATCTGTTCGGAAGACCGTAACGGTCCAAGACCTTTGCTGTTATTACGGTTTGTTATACTAGGGATACTTGAAGTCGATTGTGTATAACAATTTTCATTTTATTACCGCTCACTAGTCGACCCCCTCATAAATAGTATTGTTCACCTTACCTGGATAACGACGGATTATGGTGAACGATTTCGTTTATTTATTATTCTAATTTTGCATATTGCATATAACGAATATAGCCAGCCACTGAACTTTATGAGAATATCTTATGTATTCAATTATACTTTATGTGGAGCTTTTATTTTCATACAATGAAAAAGATTAACATTTATGAGATAATTGTCATAATTATTTGATATTCGTGTGCGCACACAGGAATTATTTTATTGAAAGAAACAGGTGCACCAATTCTGATCGCATTAATATCCAGATGACATACTATAATTTTACAGGCACGATATATTTATGGCACACCTTTTCGATCCTCCTTATACACCGGCAGGTGTACTTCCCCTCCCCATTTCTTGGATCAAAATCATTCCTCCACTGAGTCTGAGCTTTCGATCTACAATTCCACTGTAGAGATCTTGACAATCTATTGCATTTTCCAACATCACGCATTATTTTACGCCAAAATAATTGGTGCGTAAGGAATCCAATGTCGAATAATAAACAGCTTCTTCGATTTCTAAACACGTATACATATTTACATGGATGGTGAGTTTACTCGAACCGTATGCGGAAGCACATAAAGCACTAATGGAAACAGGGCCCTGGAAACTGCCCTCTCATCATCACTATCCCTCTACCGTCCCCTGGAATCACCCTTGTCAACCATAACTAACTGAATTACGTGTCGCGGTACGAAATTCAAGTAGCAAACTCAAGTACTTTCTAGTGTATAATTTATGGTAGCTGTATGTAACTGTATAATTTATGGAAGCTGTATATAAACAGATATTGTGCATTATTTTACGCCAAAATAATTGGTGCGTAAGGAATCCAATGTCGAATAATAAACAGCTTCTTCGATTTCTAAACACGTATACATATTTACATGGATGGTGAGTTTACTCGAACCGTATGCGGAAGCACATAAAGCACTAATGGAAACAGGGCCCTGGAAACTGCCCTCTCATCATCACTATCCCTCTACCGTCCCCTGGAATCACCCTTGTCAACCATAACTAACTGAATTACGTGTCGCGGTACGAAATTCAAGTAGCAAACTCAAGTACTTTCTAGTGTATAATTTATGGTAGCTGTATGTAACTGTATAATTTATGGAAGCTGTATATAAACAGATATTGTAACTACTATTATTTTCACCCTACCGACGTCAAAAGTTTCGTACTAATTTTTTTTTTCTATTCATTTAATAACTTTCTTATCTGTCAGCTTGACAAGTGAAATAGAAAGTCGTCGAGCATTATGCATAAACGTCTACTTCGCGATACACGTTCCTCTCGGGTAAAAGCCTGACGATTTTTTAACTATTCCTCTAAGTACTTCAATCTAACATAAACGAAGAACCTGTCAACCATCGGGGAAATCGCAATTACGGCAATGAGCATGTAACACTAGCTGCACGTTCCTTTGACGTCCAGTCCAGTTTTACATCCGGCACAGGTTGATACTGGGGAAAGGTCGAGTGACCGACCTGAATAAGTTGATCATTACGCAATAATCGCAGCCCGGCGTGCACCGGTGCAGCTTTTTACCGTGCAAGGCTGGACAACGTGCACCGGATTCGCATGCAGCGTGCACAGCGTGCACACTTGATCAGGACGTATTACCACATGAATCTATTCTATGTATAATGAGACTCGAGCATACGAGACATTGAAAAGTTAAATTATTAGAATCGCGCAGAAATGAATGTTTAGTTTTTTTTAATTAAAGGTCCATGAATGGAGTGAATAAAATCAATCTTGAATTGATATTCATTGATGGTCGTTTATGACAATGTAAGCAAACTGTTTCAATATTTTTGAAATAAAAATTTAATTCGTGTACTGAACGAGGGTGAAATCAATAAAATTCACCCTCGATCGATATTCAACGTGATCCAGCATACGGCCTGTTCAATGCGTTTCGAAGGGAACAAAGAAGGATTTTTCGAGGCGCCGATACTCGGAGCACCTGGAGAGGCGACGGGAGGGACCATTCGGAGGATAGGAGCGGCCGGGGAATAATATTGGGAAGTCTGCAGCTGTCACAGCAGCTGCAACCCTCCTCCCTTTGCTCACAATCTGACCGGCAGCTTTTCTACCTTGTCTTCCTCCTCGTGTTCATCCACCTCTGCCACCTTCGCCTCTCGCGAGGCACTATAGCCTTGTTCTCATGGCTTAACTTCGGACTATGTACTGTCCTCATTCCAAATTCGCCTAGAACTTCTTACATCGATCACCCAACGCTACCTTTGTTGTTAGTAATTTTTTATAAATAATTGTATAGAATTATTTATAGAATTATTTACTATTTTATTTTATGTTATACAAGAATTAAATACGAATCCTTGCTTACTGCTTCATTATTTGATATAATCTTTGATGGAGAATCTCAAGTTCAGATATAAATAAAAAACTAATTGTTCAATAATATTAATTAACAAGAAACGAAGAATCATATCTCGTAATTGACTAGGTATTAATTTCAAGAGAATTGTATCTATGTGAGAACGAAGGAAGAAAAGAGGACAATCACATTTCCTCAGTTACAGAGGAAACATGTTAGAATATTCTCACAAAGAAACTACCGTTCCACGATAAAAAATTATTCGTTGGCCGTAACGAATAAGCATCCCTTAAAGCATGAAATGAGAGCATGCAGCGAGGAAATGAATGTGCCCTCAGCACGTTAATGGGCTGGGCTCTTCAAAGGGGGGCCCCTGTTCGTTTCCGTGCCAACATGTGGGTGGATATCTAGG